CGTGTTAGCCAGGATGGTCTCGATCTCCTGACCTCGTGATCCACCCGTCTCGGCCTCCCAAAGTGCTGGGATTACAGGCTTGAGCCACCGCGCCCGGCTGATAGTTGTAATTTACAGGGGAATTATGCAATCTCTCCATTTAGGAGCCTGGATGAAGGAAAGTTGAAGGGGCCGGCAACCCTCAGTGGAACAGACTTGAGAAATCCTGCAGGAAGAGGGGTCTTCTGGCCAAAGGGAAGTTAAAAAAGAATTTATCTTATTCTAGTCCCCAGCGATAAACCAACCAGGTCTGGACAAACTGAGAGGGTTGTCAAAGAAAAGTACATAAGGCCTTGTTTCTGTTTGGAAAAAGGAGGTCAGAAAAATGTATCTCTTTCGGGAGATGTTGACTCACTGCAACCTCCACCTCCTGGGTTCAAGCGATGATTCTCGTGCCTCAGCCTCCCAAGTAGCTGAGATATCAGGCTTGCGCCACCACACCGGGCCAATTTTTGTATTTTTAGTAGAGACCGGTTCTCAGCATGTTGGCTAGTCTGTTCTCAGACTCCTGGCCTCAACTGATCTGCCTGCCTGGGCCTCCTAAAGTGCTAGGATTACAGGCGTGAGCCACCGTGCCTGGCCAAAAAAACGTATCTCTTTAAAGAACGCTAGGCAGCTTCCAAGGAGCATAGTGCTTCTCGGCTAGATTAAAGGTTAAAATAAAAACAAGATGAGAATTATTCTAGGGTTAGTAAGTTGATAGTTTGCACTGCTCTCCTTTGCCTTGTTGTTTCTACTGCTTTTGAAACATTGTTCAGATAATTATACAGCTCATAAAACAGCCATTATTGTGGAATTTAAAGATGACTCTGACATGGAATCAGTTGATTATGTGCGTTTCAGAACTAAGTTCCCTAAACGTTTCTTTTTTTCGTTTTTGTTTTGTTTTGTGTTTGTTATTGTTGTTTTTGAGACAGAGTCTTGCTGCACCCAGGCTGGAGTGCAGTGTTACAATCACAGTTCAGTGCAGCCTCAACCTCCTGAACTCAAGTGACTGTCCCATCTCAGCCTCCCGAGTAGTTGGGACTACAAATGCGTGCCACCACGCCAGGCTAAATTTTGTATTTTTTGTAGAGACAGAGTTTCGCCATGTTTGTTTGTGTCAAAACAAACAAACAAACCAAAAAAATTTCCCCACCCCAAAACGAAAAACGAACAAAAAGCAAGTGCCCCTTTTTGGTATGGGTCAGTGGTTATCTATCCACCTGTCAGTCATTAATTTAACAAATATTTGGGAGTGCCTACCAGGCAGCAGGTACATCACTGAACAAAACAAAGTCCTGACCTCATGGAGCTTATACTCTAGTTGTGGGAAACAGGTCATAAACATACTTATATCTGTGTGTGTGTGTATATATATATATATAGAGAGAGAGAGAGAGAGAGACAGAGAGAGAGAGAGAGAGAGAGAGATGGAGTATCGCTTTGTTGCTCCCAGGCTGGAGTGCAGTGGTGCAATCTCAGCTCACTGCAACCTCCACCTCCCGGGTTCAAGCTATTTTGCCACCTCAGTCTCCCAAGTAGCTGGGATTACAGGTGCCCACCGCCACTCCCAGCTAATTTTTGTTTTTGTATTTTTAATAGAGGCAGAGTTTCACCATGTTGGCCAGGCTGGTCTCAAACTCCTGACCTCAGGTGACCTATCTGCCTCAGCCTCCCAAAGTGCTGGGATTACAGGCATGAGGCACTGCGCCCGGCCAACAAATTGAATTTTAAAGATTGAGTTGGCTTTATTAGGGATTCATGAACTGGCAGCACCCAGTCTACAAAACAGAAAGGAAGCCAGGTGTGATGGTGCGTGCCTGTGGTCCCAGCTACTCTGGAGGCTGAGAAGGGAGGATCGCTTGAGTCCAGGAGGTTGAAGCTGTAGTGAGGTAGGATCATGTCATTGCACTTCAGCCTGGGTGACAGAGTGAGACCCTGTCTCTAAAAAAAAAAACAAAAAAACAAAAAAACACAAAACTTCATATGTTGAAGAAGGCAGAGGAAAGCATGAACAGGAAAGCATGAACATGATGAGGTGCTTTCCTTCTATTGACAGCTGTTGTGATACCTCAGTTCTTATCTTCTTAGTTTAAAATAATTTAAGGCCAGGTGCAGTGGCTCACACCTGTAATCCCAACACTTTAGGAGGCTGAGGTGGGCAGATCCCTTGAGCTCAGGAGTTTGAGACCAATCTGGGCAACATGGTGAAACCCTGTCTCTACAAAAAAGTAGCCGGGCATGGTGGCATGCATCTGGGGTTCCAGCTACTCAGGAGGCTGAGGTGGGAGGATTGCTTGACCCTGTGAGGTGGAGGTTGCAGTGAGCCAAAATCACAATACTGCACTCTAGCCTGGGTGACAGAGTAAGACCCCCATCTCAAAAGAAAATAAAACATTGAAAGAAACACACAGGAGGCTGGGCGCGGTGGCTCACACCTGTAACCCCAGCACTTTGGGAGGCTGAGACGGGCAGATCATTTGAGGTCAGGAGTGCGAGACAAGCCTGACAAACACGGTGAAACCTTGTCTCTACTAAAAATACAAACAAATTAGCTGGATGTGGTGTCACACGCCTCTAGTCCCAGCTACTTGGGAGGCTGAGGCATGAGAATCGCTTGAACCCAGGAGGCGGAGGTTGCAGTGAGCCAAGATCACGCCACTCCACTCCAGCCTGGGTGACAAGAGCGAGACTCTGTCTCAACAACAAAAACAACAAAAAAAAAAAAAAAAAAAAAAAAAAAAAAAAAAAAAGAAAGAAAGAAAAAGAAAAAAAGAAACATGTCAAAGGAAATCCAGCATAATTTATTGCAAAAGAAAAATAATATCTTGAAAGTTAAGTGCAGAGTAGACAGTACACCCTGAGAGAGAGAGAGAGTTCAGGGAAGGCTGCTCCTAAGGATGAAACAGCAAAGGTTGGCTCTAGAGAGACCCCCTTTGTAGGGGGGGTCTTACACAATTATTCATAAGGGGGTGGGAGAGGTGTTACTAGTAACCATGTTCTGGGTGGTCCTCTAGGTGCACATGCGCAGTGGCTGTACAGGCTTGTTGATACATTGCATGTTTCCTTAGCATCTTAAATCTCCACCCGGGGCGTGTTTTTTACTATGATAATGAGCAAAGGGACAGGTGAAATCAAAATGCGCATGCTCCCTACAGAAGACAGTCCCTACTGGAGAGAGCTCTGCTTGAATGAGTTCAATTACAATGCAAATGCTGGGGCTTACTGTGTTGACTGTGTGGTCACCACGGTTGCCGCATCTCCAGGACACGGTCACTTCCTTGACTACCTATCCCGCCTATCCCGCCTCGCTTCCACCTGTAGCTTCCTTTTTTTTTTTTTTTTTTGGACACAGTCTCACTCTGTGGCCCAGGCTGGAGTGCAGTGGTTTGATGTCGACTCACTGCAACCTCCGCCTCCTGGGTTCAAGCGATTCTCATGTCTCAGCCTCCAGAGTAGCTGCGATTACAGGCGCCCGCCACCACGCCCGGGTAATTTTTTTGTATATTTAGTAGAGACGGGGTTTCGCCATGTTGGCCAGGCTGGTCTCGAACTCCTGAACCTCAGGTGATCCGCCCGCCTCGGCCTCCTAAACTGCTTGGATTACAGGCGTGAGCCTCCGCGCCCGGCCGGTAGCTTCCTCTTCTCTGCTCTCATCATCTGTACACGGGTTTTTTCCTCATGTCAACTCTGTGATGGGCTGGAATGTTTTCTTCAGCTGTGGGTAATTTAAAGGGGACATTTTTGCAAGACACCAACAAAAAATCGGTTTGTTCAGAGGCAAGTTTTAAATCAGGGTCCATTTTTTAATATTGATGAATCCCTCAAGAATTGTATATTTACTGCTGCCCTTCGTGAGCAAGCCTGAGAAGCGCGGGCTCGACATCTCCGCGCGCCCCAGCTGCCGGCCACCAAGGCAGGCGACGCCGGAGCACATGTCCTGAGGCCCAGGACCGTGGTCGGCCGCTTTCGCACGTGCGTGGCCAGCAGAGGGCGCAGCCGGCCAGCCCCGCAGCGAAAGATCCCCGAGTGCCGCGTCAGCGATCGGGCTCCTTGCCCTCGCCGCCTGCCAGCTGCCCTGAGTCAGCAAACCACAGAGAGGCGAGGACCTCCCATTTTCCTAGACAGAACAAGTGGGCGTTGGGGGGCACGGGTGAGTGTCAAGAACAACCGACCCGGAAGCGAAACGAGGGGGAACTTCCGTTCTTTGTTCTGTCCCCGGTGTGTGGGTCTGTGACAGGGTCCAACAGGGCCTGGTCCGTGTCCGGTCCCCCAAATCTGTCGTCCCTGTCCCCTAGGGTGAGTCCACGCGTCCCCGGGTCTCGCGGTGAGACGGAGGCTGTGGTCGCCGGGGAAGGGGGTGGTGTCTGTGCCGCTGCGGCCCTTAGGGTTCCCTGGCCGGTCCCGAGCAGGGTGCGGGGAGGCGCCCCTCCGTCCCTTGCAGCCCGTCCTCTACTCCGCTTCCCCAGGGATCCCCCTAGCCTAGCGGGAGCCTGCGTAGGGGTTAGTAATGGGGCTCCGGTTCTGGTTTTATGACTTAAACGGCGCCCCAGCTGGAGCGTTTAAAAGTTTCAGCAGAGTGGTAGGGGCGCCTCTCTCTTGAAAGCAGCTAATGACAGCGACCCTAACTTGGTACTTCTCCCAGACGTTTTTATTTGATATTAACACAGTAATTCGCGCCCGTGATAGGAGAGGAAGTTTATTTTTACAGAGCTGGGTCCAAGGATCAGAGAAGTTCTGCGAAGCTTACGCAGTTAGCACGAGGACTGGGAGTGGGTGCAGACTCCGGTCCCAGGGGTAATCCTGCTGGAGCCCAGTGCATCGAGTGATACACCCGGCTCAGGCTCCGTTTTCAGTTGTATTAGATTCCTGGTTTGATCCTCTCTCTGGAAGTGGGATTGAATCCACGTTGGTGTTTACACTTTGAAGGGCTTGTGTAAACTCCAGGAGAGGATAGCAGAGTGATGAACCTGAAACCGATGGACTAATTAGAGGAACTAAGCGTATTATTTTCTCCAGAAAAGACATCTGTGGAGAGTGGGCATCATTTGATTATACGTGTTTGATGGACAGTCAGGTGGAAGAAGAAGATCCTGTTGTTGAAGCTCTTTTGTTTTTAAAAAATTTTTTATTTATTTATTTTTGAGACAGTCTCTCTCTGGAGTGCAGTGGCGCGATCGCGGCTCACTGCAATCTCCGCTTCCCAGTTCAAGCGCTTCTCCTGCTTCAGCCTCCGGAGTGGTTGGGACTACAGGCGCCCGCCACCACACCCGGCGAATTTTTTTGTATTTTTAGTAGAGACGGGGTTCCGCCCTTTTGGCCAGGTTGGTCTCCAACTCCTGGCCTCAAGTGATCCCAACCTTGAGATCCCACTCGCCTCGGCCTCCCAAAGTGTTGGGATTACAGGCGTTAGCCACCACTCCCGGCACTTTTTTTTCCCCTTTTAAAATTTTTGTGCGTATTAAGGTCTTGCTCGGTTGCCCCCGGCTGGAGTGCAGTGGTGCCATCATGGGTCACTGTAGCCTGGAACTCCTCCCACCTCAGCCTCCTAAAGTGCTGGGGTTACAGGCGTGAGCCACTGCATGTGGCCAGTCATTGAATTTCTGTGATGCAGTAGGTCTCTGTGAGGTGAAGGTCCAAGGAGATAGATTTTCAGCGAATCACCTGAAAACTTCTAATGGCTCAGCTGTACAGTGTGGATCCCCTGCTGAAGTAGTTGGGAGGACAGTATCTAGCAAGTTAGCTGACAGAACGTTAGAACTTTCTTACCCTGGGTGGAGGTGGACCTGAGAACCCACCATTCCCTTTCATCTCTCCACGGGTGCAACACAAATACTACTAGTTGTGGTGGTGGTCTTAATTGGTATTTATTAGCATATAATAAGTATTCTCTCTTTTTTTCCTTTTCTCTAAATATCTTGATTAGAAATGAAGTTTAGGGTGGACTCGGTGGCTCACACCTGTAATCCCAGCGCTTTGGGAGGCTGAGGCGAGAGGATCACTTGAGGCCAGGAGATTGAGACCAGCCTGAGCAACATAGTGAGGCTGCATTTCTACAAAAAAAAATTTTAAAAAACTCAGCTAGATGTGGCAGTGCACACCTTCAGTCCCAGCTCCTTGGGAGGCTGAGCTGGGAGGATCACTTGAACTCAGGAGTTTGAGGCTGGAGTGAGCTTAAACTCACTGCACCCCAGCCTGAGCAGCAAAGTCAGACCCTGTCTCACATGGAAAAAAAAAAAAAAAAAAAACAGACATTCGCATGAATATTTTAAATTCCTTTTTTTCCCCTTAATCACACAGCATTGGCATCGACAAAAGTCAGAATTCCCGGGAACTTGAAGAGAGGCTGCTAAATTCCCAGTAATTGTTCCTTTGGCCTTCTAGGGACTGACTTCAAAGAAGGAAGGAAATAATCAGGCAGGTAAAGCTTTCCGTGTCTCGTTCTCACTGCCAGACCATCTATCTCGGTCTCCAGGGGCAGCACCAGGGAGTGAGGCTGGCAACAGAGCAGGGGAAGGGCCCCGCCTGGACCTGAAGCCATGGGGGCACAATGGAGAGTTTTCTTTCTGTGAGAAACACTGTTTACTGCTCCAGACACTGGGTGCTTGTTCTCAACAATATGCCTTTGAGTTCCAGCTTTGCTTAACCCAGCTGTGAGAGGGAGCATTGCCTTTTTCTCTGGAGTCAGACCTTTGACCTGCCTTTCTAGGAGTTTGTACTGAAAGCTGACTTGTTGAGGGTGTCAGCTCATAAATAGCCCTGGAGATTGTAAAGGTGGTTGATAAGAGGATATGATGGTTGGCTCTGAGACACTGTTGAAGGGACCCTGCTGGGAGGGTGATAAGGTGTGTCACCTTGATTGCCAGTGGCCTGGCTTGTGCCTGAGTTAGTGCTTTCCACTGTGTAAGGGCACTGGTATTGGACATTCTGTATCCCATGCTACCCGAAGACCAGAGTTGTCCAAACTTGTAATTGACTTTCAAACAGGACTCCTCTTCCTTTGTTCTTTTTTTTTCTTTTATTCTCTCAAACATTCTTTTATCTAACCCTCTTCCTTTGATGCTTTATGTGAGTGTAACAGTCTAATTATGAAGCACATACTTTTTGCATTCCTGATTTTTTTTTTTACTGCTTGCAGTTGTGAGTTGCAATAGAGTTAGCACTCAGCAAACATTTGGTATGTGAGCAAATGAGTAAAGAGATAATGAGAAGTGGATAAAATCCAGGGTTTTTTTTTTTTTTTTTTTTTTTTTGAGACGAAGTTGCACTCTGTTGCCCAGGCTGGAGTACAGTGGCGTGATCTCGGGTCACTGCAACCTCCGCCTCCTGGGTTCAAGTGATTTTCCTGCCTCAGCTTCCCGAGTAGCTGGGATTATAGGTGCGCACCACCATGCCCAGCTAATTTTTTGGATTTTTAGTAGAGACAGGGTTTCATCATGCTGGCCAGGCTGGTCTTGAACTCCTGACCTCATGATTTGCCCGCCTCGGCCTCCCAAAGTGCTGGGATTACAGGCATGAGCCACCATGCCCAGCCTGGGAGTAGTCTTTTTATGCCAGTAAATGTATATACCCACTCCTGCATTTTGTTATAAATATTACTGAAAGTGGTGGGGGCAGCCAACGGTGGGATATTGTTGAGGAACTTGGGCCCTTTTTGTGGTCCTTGTGGTAGTCTCATTTCAGGGATTGTATTTACCAGGATCTAAAAGACTAGTCCCAGGCTGGGCGTGGTGGCTCACGCCTGTAATCGTAGCACTTGGGGAGGCTGGGGTGGGTGGATCACCTGAGGTCAGGAGTTTGAGACCACCCTGGCCAACATGGTGAAATCCCGTCTCTACAAAAAATACAAAAATTAGCCAGACGTGGTGGCGCGAGCCTGTAATCCCAGCTACTTGGGAGGCTGAGGCAGGAGAATCAGTTGAACCCGGGAGGCAGAGGTGGCAGTGAGCCAAGATTGCGCCATTGCACTCCAGCCTGGGTGACAAGAGTGAAACTCTATTTAAAAAAATAAATAAATAAAAGACTAGTCCCAGTTGCCGCATTTCTTCTCACTGTTCCTGGGTAGTCACTGAAATGCTAGCTCTCATCTTTCTGTATCCAGGAGGTTTTTTTGAATTATCTTTGAACCTTGAACTTTTGCTTCTGCAGTGCTTCCTCATTCTCCTTCAAAACCTGCTTCCCACTGAGTCTGCACGTAGGAGGCCAGAGAGCACCTTGCCCTTCCATGGAAACTCAGGCCGATCTCGTATCTCAGGAACCTCAGGCCCTGCTTGAGAGTGGTGAGGAATAAGGACTTATTCATTCTATTACTCAGTCATTCAGCAGCAGTCATCCATTGAAATCGCTCATTCACCAGGTACTAGGCTAACTACTAGAATCCAGACGTGAATAAGACACTCTTCGTCATTCAGTAACTCACAGCCTAGTGGGGAAGCTGACCAAACAGTAATCAATGACAGCTTGATAGGTTTGATAATTGAGGCAGATTTTTTTTTTTTTTTTTTTGAGACGGAGTCTTGCTTGTTGCTCAGGCTAGAGTGCAGTGGCACAGTCTTGGCTTACTGCAACCTCTGCCTCCTGGATTCAAGTGATTCTCCTGCCTCAGCCTCCCATGTAGCTGGGACTACAGGCACCCACTACCACGCCCAGCTAATTTTTGTAGAGACGGAGTTTTTGCCATGTTGGTCTGGCTGGTCTTGAACTCCTGAGCTCAGTGCCCACCTTGGCCTCCCAAAGTGTTGAAATTACAGGTGTGAGCCATCGCACCTGGCCACTGAGGCAGTTTTGAAGGGTTGTGAGTACCTCACGCGAGACTAAGGAAACCGTGTCAGTTATTCCATTTTTTGGGCATTCTATGTGGCTGACTTCATAGGCATAGTTTGTGCTTTTTAGGAGCATGCTTTTAGAGGAAGCGCTTGGGAATCATTTTGTGGGTCACAGGCAAAAAGATAAGAGTGAATAGGAAGCCACTAAAATATATTTTGCAGCCAGGCGCGGTGGCTCACTCCTGTAATCCCAGCACTTTAGGAGGCTAGGGTGGGCAGATCACAAGGTCAGGAAATCAAGACCATCCTGGCCAACACAGTGGCCATCTCTACTAAAAATACAAAAAATTAGCTGGGCACGGTGGCATACGCTTGTAGTCCCAGCTACTCCAGAGGCTGAGGCAGGAGAATTGCTTGAATCCAGGAGGCGGAGGTTGCAGCGAGCCGAGATCGTGCCACTGCACTCCAGCCTGGGCAACAGAGCGAGATGCCGTCTCAAAAAAAAAAGAATTGCAGAAAAAGGTAAGAGATCCAACATAGAAACAGGAAACATTTCTAGTGTACAGATTTGATCTGGGGTGGAGAGAAAGGAGCTGTGGGCATTGTGTTTCCAGTTAGGGCTGGGGTGGAGCTGCTGGTTTTTCTCTGGTCTAAGAACTTCATGCTGGGTGCAGTGGTGCACGCCTGTAATCCCTAATCCCAGCTACTTGGGAGGCTGAGGCGGGAGGATCACTTGAGCCCAGCAGTTTGAGACCAGCCTGGGCAGCATAGCAAAACCCACCTCAAAAAAAAAAAAATAGACCATGCAAGAGCAGGATCGTATGTTTCTGGCCAAACTTGGGTGAATGGACAAGAATGCAGTCATCACTAAGATAGGACTGGGCGGCTTCATTGAGAGAAGAGTGACTGGAGAGAGAAGAGGGGGCCCGGGGCAGACTGGAGGCCTAGAATGACTAGGCCTGTGGCCATCTGCTCAGGCAGGATGGACCCGCTCTGAGTGTGCCTTTGTTGGACACCCTTGAGCTAGCTGCAGAGGAAGCAAACTTAGAAATGTGAGAGAGAGGGTCCTGTGTTGTCCCAGGACCCCGGGAGCTTTCTGTGGGCTGGGAAGTCAGCAGGTTGGGAGGTCACAGAGCAGATGGACTCATTCCTGGGCCCTTTTATTGCCCTTCAGCTCTTCCTTCAAAAGTTCCTGCCTTTTCCGACAAGGACAGCCTGGGGGATGAGATGTTGGCAGCTGCACTCCTAAAGGCCAAGTCCCAGGTAAGCTGTGGTTCCCTTCATCCTTTTCCTTTCCATTTTCTGTGCAATGACATCCCATTCAGAGCTTTCAACCCTGATTGCCTCCATCAGGCCCATGGTTCTGTCCTGCTGAATCACGGACTCTCACCTTCCATCTTGGACTCTTGTCTCTCTTCCTCCACCCTGCCCTCCTTTCCTCCCTTCCCAAATGTGCATTTTTCACCCCATCCTCAGTTATTTTTTTGGTGCTGCCATTCACATTCCTCACCCTGAAATTGCATGCCAGCACGTGTTGTTTCAGGAGCTGGTAACCTTTGAGGATGTAGCTGTGTACTTCATCCGGAAGGAGTGGAAGCGTTTGGAACCTGCTCAGAGGGACCTCTATAGAGATGTAATGCTGGAGAATTACGGGAATGTGTTCTCACTGGGTAAGGAGTTGTGCCTTCTCTACAAAACTCACTGGTGTTTCTTTGCTTGTTTGTTTGTTAGTAACAATCTAGTCACTGAAAAGAGCTGACTGTTTCAGCAGATTTTTTTTTTTTTGAGGTGCAATGGCACCACCTTTGCTCAGTGCAACATCCACTTCCCAGGTTCAAGCGTTCTCAGGTTCTCACCTCTGCCTCCCAAGTAGATGGGACTACAGGCACGCACCACACCGGGCTACATTTTGCATTTTTTTGTTTTGTTTTGTTTTGTTTTAGTAGAGACGGGGTTTCACCATGTTGGCCAGGTTGGTCTCAAACTCCTGACCTCAAGTGATCCACCTGCCTTGGCCTCCCAAAGTGCTGGGATTACAGGCATGAGCCACCGTGCCCGGCCTGGCTAAGGATTGACTTAGTCTTGGAAAATTGTAAGAACAATAATCTTAACTCATTTATACAGTAGTTTGCAACTTATAAAGCATTCTCATGTATATTCTTTCATTTAATCTTCACAGTAACACATTAATTGAGGCAGCTAGTATTATTCCTCATTTTACAGGTAAGGAAAGTGATAGCCACCTCACCTGGTGAGGTGGCTCACACCTGTAATCCCAA